ACAAAAGTGCTTTTCAATGAACATTCTTTCTAGAAGGAAAAAAAGTAGATATAATGCAAAAAAGAAGTTAATAAATGCTGAGTAGAGTCAAAAATTATCCAGTAGAAGAGAAAAAGGATATTAATAAGACCTAAAATAGCTAATATTTATGGAATGTTGGTCATCATTCTAAGACTGCACTGTTTAATACCTTAGCCTTTATCCACATGTGGCTACTGAATCCCTGGAATGTAGTCAATCTAAATTGAAATGTACCATAAATGTAAAATGCCCACCAGATTTCAAAGACTTAGTATGAAAGAAAGAATGTGAAATATTTCATTAAAAATTTTATAAAGGGAGATGTCAGCACAGCCATTTTGCATCAGGGACTCAGCGCTGAAGGGCTGGGTGTGAGGTCTCTGCACAAGGCATGCTGTGAGCAAGGGAAACTCGATTAAGCACAAAGGCAGAGAAAAAAGGCCCTTTCTTTTCATGGATTCCACTCTGACAGAACAGCTGAGAAATTCTGCAATCTTAGCCAACAACCTTGTGGCGGCCTAAATGAAAGGCTAAGTTTTTGATTAAGGGAATCCAAAAATGCTGAAACAATTGTGACTCAGCCAAAATGGCCATGTTCTACCTCTCTGAAATATGAAGCCATAACTTGGATTTAGAATATTTTCATGGTTGGCCATCTTACAAAAATGACAATTTAATAAACTTTTAACTCATTGTTGACCAGAGATGTATAATATGTCTTTTGTTACCTGAACATTATTGAAAAGAGATGTTTCAATATTCACTTGCATAACAAATCGCCGGTAACAGGCGTTAGTTTCTGAAAAAATCCCCCAGTCAGTAATGTGTTAATATGAAAATATGAGGGGGACCTTCAAGATGGCAGAGGAGTAAGATGTGGAGATCACCTTCCTCCCCACATATACATCAAAAATACATCTACATGTGGAACAACTCCTACAGAACACCTACTAAATACTGGCAGAAGACCTCAGATTTTCCAAAAGACAAGAAAATTCCCACGTACCTGGGTAGGGCAAAAGAAAAAAGAAAAAACAGAGACAAAAGAATAGGGACAGGACCTGCACCACTGGGAGGGAGCTGTAAAGGAGGAAAGGTTTCCACACACTAGGAAGCCCCTTCACTGGTGGAGACGGGGGATGTGCAGGGGGCAAGCTTTGGAGCCACAGAGGAGAGCACAGCAACAGTGGTACACAGGGCAAAGTGGAGAGATTCCCACACAGAGGATCAGAGCCAACCAGCACTCACCAGCCTGAGAGGCTTGTCTGCTCACCCGCTGGGATGGGTGGGGGCGGGGAGCTGAGACTCCCGGCTTTGGAGGTCGGATCCCAGGGAGAGGACTGGGGTTGGCTGAGTGAACACAGCCTGAAGAGGGCTAGTGTGCCACAGCTAGCCGGGAGGGAGTCCGGGAAAAGGTCTGGACCTGCCTAAGAGTCGAGAGAACATTGTTTTGGGGTGAGCAAGGAGAGGGGATTCCTTCCCTGTCTGCACACGGAAGGCAGAACACCGCCTAAATGAGCTCCAGAGATGAGTGCCAGCCGTGGCTATCAGCTCGGATCTCAGAGACAGGCATAAAACGCTGATGCTGCTGCCGCTGCCACCAAGAATCCTATGTGCAGACACACCTCACTATCCACCCCACCACCACCCCCGGCAGCCTGTGCGGCCCACCACTGCCAGGGTCCGGAAATCCAGGGAAAAGCTCTCCGGGAGAACATAAGGTGCACCTCAGGCTGTTGCAAAGTAATGCCGATCTCGGCTGGCGCAGGCTCGCCCCGCCTTCCAATTATAATTACCGTACCCCTCCTTCCCCCACCACCCCAGGCTGAACGAGCAAGAGCCGTACGCCTCCCTCCTCCCTGGCCTGAATGAGCTAGAGCCCCCTAATCAGCTGCTCCTTTAACCCCGTCCTGTCTGTGTGAAGAACAGATGCCCTCCAGTGACCTACATGCAGAGGCAGGGCCAAATCCAAAGCTGAGCCCCTGGGAGCTGTGAGAACAAAGAAGGAAAGGGAAATCTCTCCCAGCAGTCTCAGGAGCAGTGGATTAAATCCCCACAATCAACTTGATGTACCCTGCATCCGTGGAATACCTGAATAGACAACTAATCATCCCAAAACTGAGGTGGTGGACTTTGGGAGCACCTGTAGACTTGGGGTTTCTGTCTCTGACTGATTTGTTTCTGATTTTTATGTTTATCTTAGTATAGTTTTTAGTGCTTGTTATCATTGGTGGATTTTTTTTTTTTTTGGTTTGGTTGCTCTCTTCTTTTTTAATTATTTTTTTTATGTTAATAATTTTTAAAAATTTATTATTAAAATTTTTTTTTATCTTTCTTTTTTTCTCCCTTTTCTTCTGAGCCATGTGGCTGACAGAGTCTTGGTGCTCCAGCCTGGTATCAGGCCTGAGCCTCTGAGGTGGGAGAGCCAAGTTCAGGACCAGAGACCTCCTGGCCCCATGTAATATCAATTGACGAGAGCTCTCCCAGAGATCCCCGTCTCAATGCTAAGACCACTCCACCCAACGGCCCGCAAGCTCCAGTGCTGGATACCCCATGCCAAACACCTAGCAAGACAGGAACGCAACCCCACCCATTAGCAGAGAGGCTTCCAAAAATCATAATAAGTTCACAGACACCCCAAAACACACCACCGGAGGCAGCCCCACCCATCAGAAAGACAAGATCCAGCTCCACCCACCAGAACACAGGCACCAATCCCCTCCACCAGGGAGCCTACGAAAACCACTGAACCAACCACACCCACTGGGGGCAGACACCAAAAACAATAGGAACTATGAACCTGCAGCCTGCGAAAAGGAGACCCCAAACACAGTAAGTTAAACAAAATGAGAAGACAGAGAAATATGCAGCAGATGAAGGAGCAAGGTAAAAACTCACCAGACCTAGGGCTTCCCTGGTGGCACAGTGGTTGAGAGTCCACCTGCCGATGCAGGGGATACGGGTTCGTGCCCTGGTCCAGGAAGATCCGCCATGAGCCATGGCCGCTGAGCCTGCGTGTCCGGAACCTGTGCTCCGCAATGGGAGAGGCCACAACAGGGAGAGGCCCACGTACCACAAAAAAAAACACAAAAAACAAAAAAACTCACCAGAACAAACAAATGAAGAGGAAATTGGCAGTTTACCTGAAAAAGAATTCAGACTAATGATAGTAAAGATGATCCAAAATCTTGGAACTAGAATAGAGAGAATACAAGAAACATTTAACAAGGACCTAGAAGAACTAAAGAGCAAATGAACAATGATGAACAACACAATAAATGAAATTAAAAATTCTCTAGAAGGAATCAGTAGCAGAATAACTGAGGCAGAAAAACGGATAAGTGACCTGGAAGATAAAATAGTGGAAATAACTAATGCAGAGCAGAATGAAAAATAAAGATTGAAAAGAAGTGAGGACATTCTTACAGACCTGTGGGACAATATTAAATGCACCAACATTTGGATTATAGAGTCCCAGAAGAAGAAGAGAGAAAAAAGACTCTGAGAAAATATTTGAAGAGATTATAGTTGAAAACTTCCCCACCATGGGAAAGGAAATAGTCAATCAAGTCCAGGAAGCACCAAGAGTCCCATACAGGATAAGTCCAAGGAGAACATACCAAGACACATATTAATCAAACTATCAAAATTAAATACAAAGAAAAAATATTAAAAGCAGCAGGGGAAAAGCAACAAATAACATACAAGGGAAACCCACTAAGGTTAACAGCTGATCTTTCAGCAGAAACTCTGCAAGCAAGAAGGGAGTGGCAAGACATACTTCAAGTGATGAATGGGAAGAAACTACAACCAAGAATTCTCTACACAGCAAGGATCTCATTCAGGTTCAATGGAGAAATTAAAACCTTTAAAGTCAAGCAAAAGTTAAGAGAGTTCAGCACCACCAAACCAGCTTTACAACAAATGCTAAAGGAACTTCTCTAGGTGGAAACACAAAAGAAGGAAAAGACCTACACAAGCAAACACAAAACAATTAAGGAAAAGGTAATAGGAACATACATATCGATAATTACCTTAAATGTAAATGGATTAAATGCTCCAACCAAAAGACATAGATTTGCTGAATGGATACAAAAACAAGGCCTGTATATATGCTGTCTACAAGAGACCCACTTCAGACCTAGGAACACATACAGACTGAAAGTGAGGGGATGGAAAAAGATATTCCATGTAAATGGAAATCAAAAGAAAGCTGGAGTAGCAATTCTCATATCAGACAAAATAGACTTTAAAAATAAAGACTATTACAAGAGACAAAGAAAGGCACTACATAATGATCAAGGGATCAATCCAAGAATAAGATATAACAACTGTAAATATTTATGCACCCAACATAGGAGCACCTCAACATAAGGCAAATGCTAACGGCCATAAAAGGGGAAATCGACAGTAACACAAGTCACAGTAGGGGATTTTAACACCCCACTTTCATCAATGGACAGATCATCCAAAATGAACATAAATAAGGAAGCACAAACTTTAAATGACACATTAAACAAGAGTGACTTGATTGATATTTATAGGACACTCCATCCAAAAACAACAGAATACCCTTTCTTCTCAAGTGCTCATGGAAAACTCTCCAGGAGAGATCATATCTTGGGTCACAAATCAAGCCTTGGTAAATTTAAGAAAATTGAAATCGTATAAAGTATCTTTTCTGACCACAACACTATGAGACTAGATCTCAATTACAGGAAAAAAACTGTAAAAAATACAAACACATGGCAGCTAAACAGTACACTACTAAATAACCAAGAGATAACTGAAGAAATCAAAGAGGAAATCAAAGATTACCTAGAAATAAATGACAATGAAAACACGAAGACCCAAAACCTATGGGATGTAGTAAAAGCAGTTCTAAGAGGGAAGTTTATAGCAATACAATCCTACCTCAAGAAAAAAGGAAAAATCTCAAATAAACAACCTAAACTTACACCTAAAGCAATTAGAGAAAGAAGAATAAAGAGTCCCAAAGTTAGCAGAAGGAAAGAAATCATAAAGATCAGATCAGAAATAAATGAAAAAGAAATGAAGGAAACAGAAATATAGATCAATGGAGCAGGATGGAAAGCCCAGAGATAAACCCACGCACCTATGGTCACCTTATTTTTGATAAAAGAGGCAAGAATATACAATGGAGAAAAGACAGCCTCTTCAATAAGTGGTGCTGGGAAACCTGGACAGCTACATGTAAAAGAATGAAATTAGAACACTCCCTAACACCATACACACAAATAAACTCAAAATGGATTAAAGACCTAAATGTAAGACTAGACACTATAAAACTCTTCGAGGAAAACATAGGCAGAGCACTCTGACATAAATCACAGCAAGATCCTTTTTGACCCACCTCCTAGAGAAATGGAAATATAAACAACAATAAACAAATGGGACCTAATGAAACTAAAAAGCTTTTGCACAGCAAAGGAAACCGTAAACAAGATGAAAAGACAACCCTCAGAATGGGAGAAAATATTTGCAAATGAAGCAACTGACAAAAGATTAATCTCCAAAGTATACAATCAGCTCATGCAGCTCAATATCAAAAAAACAAACAACCCAATCCAAAAATGGGCAGAAGACCTAAATAGACATTTCTCCAAAGAAGATATACAGATTGCCAACAAACACATGAAAGGATGCTCTACATCAGTAATCATTTGAGAAATGCAAATCAAAACTCACACTGGTCAGAATGGCAGAATGGGCATCATCAAAAAATCTACAAACAATAATTGCTGGAGAGGGTGTGGAGAAAAGGGAGCCCTCTTGCACTGTTTTTGGGAATGTAAATTGATACAGCCATTATGGAGAACAGTATGGAGGTTCCTTAAAAAACTAAAAATAGAACCAGAATATGACACAGCAATCCCACTACTTTGCATATACCCTGAGAAAACCATTATTCAAAAAGAGTCATGTACCACAATGTTCACTGCAGGGCTACTTACAATAGCCAGGATGTGGAAGCAACCTAAGTGTCCATCGATAGATGAGTGGATAAAGAAGTTGTGGCGCACACACATATATATACATATATATATGTACATATACATATATATATACAATGGAATATTATTCAGCCATAAAAAGAAACGAAGTTGAGTTATTTGTAGTGAGGTGGATGGACCTAGATTCTGTCATAGAGAGTGTAGAAAGTGAAATAAGTCAGAAAAAAAAAAATACTGTATGCTAACACATATATATGGAAACTAAAAAAAAAAAAAAGGGTTCTAACGAACCTAGGGGCAAGACAGGAATAATGACACAGACGTAGAGACTTGAGGACATAGGGAGGGGGAAGGGTAAGCTGGGATGAAGTGAGAGAGTGGCATGGACATATATAAACTACCAGATGTAAAATAGATAGCTAGTGGGAAGCAGCCTCATAGCACAGGGAGATCAGCTCAGTGCTTTGTGACCACCTAGAGGGGTGGGATAGGGAGGGTGGTAGGAAGACGCAAGAGGGATGAGATATGGGGATATATGTATACATATAGCTGATTCACTTTGTTAAATAGCAAAAACTAACACAACATTGCAAAGCAATTATCCTCCAATAAAGATGTTAGAAAAAATTTATAATGATTAAGTGTCAAATTGACAATGTTTTTGGTACATTAGATTAAGGAAAATATTATTGAAATTATTTTCAATTGTTCCTTCATACTTTTTAAACTGAACTACAAGAAACTTTGAAATTATCTATGCAGCTCACATTTGTGACTAGCATTATATTTGTATTGGACAGCTCTGTGAATCTAAAAGCTTTAGCAACATGCTATCTCATTTAATCTTCCAAACAATCCTAAGAAGTCAGTACTGTATTTGATACAAAGCATATTTTAGATAAACTGTCTAGAATTACCTCAATGAGTAAAGGGGTGGCTCTATAGTCAATAATCTGAGTAAATGAAGGAATGCTACCTGATGGATGTTGACGACGTCTCAGTTACCAGGTAGTCTCAGTTAATTATATTTCCTTAGCCAGAACTGTGCATGAATATGAAGGTGTCAATTCTAAACTCAGTAATTTTTGCAAATTACAATGATGAAGATTTCTAAGGGAAAGAGTGAAGGAGTGTTATTGGGAGTTATTTGGGCAACTGAGATATATCTTCTGAGGTATATCTATTGCCATATTCCATAGTAATGCCTTTTGAAGACTGCATAACTACCTGTTCCCATTTCCCCAAAAGTTCATCCAGTAAGACCACATAACTGAGAGTGGCTCAATATCTCTTTCATTCTGAGTGAGAACAAATGAGGTGCTTCTCAGTCTTTGGCCTTCTGGAAGCCACCAAACTTACGCAAATTTGGATTTCCCTTGAAGAGGAAGTCTTAGTGTAAGTTTCATCATACTTCTATCTGCACGTGATATGCGAATATCAGCACGAGAGTCCTGTGACAGCAACTAGTACAACTTTGTGAAACCAGTCACACTTTGGGCCTATAATTTTTTAATCGCATGACACACACACTTAGGAAATGTCACGAGGAAGCTCTGAGCCCCCAGAGGACCTACTTCAATTGAATACTGTAAATCAAAATCTAGAGAATAGGCTTAAACGTGGGTAATACAAAGTCTTGGCTCCTATCTATTCCCTGAGCATGGAAAGAGAGAAATGATGTTTTGCCTGGATTAATGCAATCTCGCTTATGGAGAATCATTCACATAAAATGTTTCCATTCCTGTTTCACTGCTGGAATTCGGCACAGGGCTGATTTATCTGAGTGATAGGAGAGTCTAAGCTGTAGGTCAAGGATCTAAACAATCCTCAGAATACAAGGGAGAAAAGATTCTCTGCAGCACATAGGAAGGCCTCTGTGAATTGGGCAAGCCATTCACAGAGAGAGGCAAAAAGAGAAACAAAATGAGAATTTCTCCTTGTAATGGGATTAAAGGATTTATATGGCTGTGTATTTTGAAGCAGTGTTAGGACTGACCTGCCCAAATGGGATTTGTAATCGATCTCTGAGGTTCTACATCTCAGAGTCTAAAATACCTTCCAAGTGACCTCTTCAAGGGTCCCTATGAAAAAAAATCTTTGCATAAAATTCTCATTTAAGGCAAACCCTTTACATAAAATTTTCAATTTGTAAATTTCAGTAAATCAAAAATTAAAAGAAAACAACTTGCCTGTCACTCTTTACATTTCCATACAAGTTCACCTTACGTTTCCTTTGAATGGTAAGCTTTCTCAGAACATGTAAATTTTGATTGAATTCTACAGGTATTTGGAATGTAAATAATAGCCACAATAAGGTGCACCAGGTGGGAAGGATCAGTATATAGAGATAGTCTACTTCACGAATTTGTGATCAACGACAATAACCAAAACTGATTTGAGAATATTCTTGCACAATAACGACTAAAGCAGTCTAGTTGAGATTTTGACTTTGACCCAACACTTTAACATCTGGGAATGTATCCTTTAGCTATTAAGCATATGTGAAATACCATATGTTTAAGGGTATTTACTGCAGCATTGTATGTAATAGCAAAAGTTGGGGAAAATATTCTAAACGTTCATCAACAGGTGCCGGGTAAAATAAATCACTATATAGCTATAAAATGGGATATTACACAGTCGTTTTTAAAAAGGGAAAGCTTGATATGTACTAAAATGGATTATATTCCTCATAAATATTATTTTTAAAAGCAATTGGCAATACAGTGTTTAAAGTGTACTACATTTTGCCTTAAAAAATTCTTATACTTGTATGAGTGTAGCTCATCTATGGAAGAATTCCCATACTAACAGTGTTTCCTTGCCAGGTGAATTGCACAGTGGCTGGACTGGGGGCTGGGTACTTACTTTTTCTCCAAATTATCTGCACCTTTTGAATTTTATAACATACACTTGCATTACCTGTTCAAAGATATAAATAAAATTTATAAAAAGATTTGAGGGGAGGGTTAAGGCTTTGTGCTTTAAGGAGAGAGTTGGTGGAAGAAAGAAACAAAGGAAATACCTCTTTAAAGATTAACTGTCAAAGTAGTCTTTTGTAAGCAACATAAGATTCTGGAAAGACTGTCTTACTTTGACCAGTTCAGTTACTGATAAAATGTGCTGAGCATGGGAGTACTTAAGAAACACTAGTTGGTAATAAATATGTTTAATTGAAGGTACAGGAAAAAAAGATATGTGACCTGTTGAACAAACTCTCTCCATTGTACATATTGCATCACATATTCTGGGCAGAGCCGTCCACAAGGAAATCCCTCTAATGGAGTAAACACTACTCTGGGAACACAAGCAGGAAATGGGAGTGATAAATCAGAAAGGCAAAAGGAACATAATGAATGGTGGAAACAGCTAGAGGAAAGCAGGAGGATATCAAAGTGTTCAAAGAAGTACCAGAAAAACAAGGCTGTTAGATGACATCAGTGAAAAGACAATAAAACTTGGGACATACCAACAAAAGAAGTTCTAAGATGATTTGACAGCTCATCAGTACTACGAATAGGGTACCAAACTATCCATATTTATTGCTGGAAGATCTGCTATTACGGCACACATTGTGATCAAGGATAGATGCTTCCTTCCATATAAATTTTGGATTTTAATCTCTCAGTTGGAAAGTATTTGCTGAGCACCTGCTTTGCAAGGTACTATGGGTGATTCAAAGGTGCAGAAGATAAAGACCTGCCATCTGGAAGCTTACAGTCTACTTTCAAATGGAAAACCATCTGGTGAAATCCTAAATTCAAAATTATTTTCTAATTATTGAGCCATTTTCTCTTGAACACTTCTTTTAGGGTCTTCAGCTATAAACAAAGATTACTGAAAGCTGCTTTCAGTTTCTTTCAACTATTTATTCCTCTGAGACATAAGCAGTAAATTATTAACAATCTAAAGTTTTCATACAGATTCAATCTGCTTTCCTAAGATGTCTTAGAGTTTACAGTCAGTAATGTTTCAGAGGATCTGGGATCTTGAAAAAGTTAGGCTGAGAAAAAGTTTCTATTCCAAGATATCCAAAACCGAGTATCTGTTGAGTCAAAAATAGATTTCCTTAAGCCTAATTAAAATTCTTCTTGCTGCAATTCTGACTTACTTCTTTGGCTTCCGCGTAATTTATCTCATCCTTTCATCAACAATATTCTTAACACAAATGGAATCAAACTCTTGATCTAAACAAAACAAAGAGCATCAATTCCCCAAACATCTACCTACCATATGCATAACTTGAGTAGATCTACAAGATAAAATACAGGACACCGAGGTAAATCTGTATTCCAGAGAAAACAACAATTAATCTTTCTTAGTATATGTTTGTACCAAATATTGCATTGGACATAAATATACTAAAAAACTATTTATTGTTTCTCTGAAATTCAAATGTAACTGAGTACTCCCATGATTTTATTTGCTAAATCTGACAACCTTAAACTTGAATAACTACTTAAAGGAAAAGTTAATTATAAAATGAAACTGAAACCTGTATTACATAATGTTTAGCACGTTTGAGATTTAAAAGTTTCAAATGACAAGCTGCTATTTAGTAGCCTACCATGTCAAAGATAAAGATTACCTTTTCTGGAATGTATAGAGCCTTTTCACTTATTTAGCTATCTAGAGTCAAGAGACAGAGTATCCTCTGGATGGGAAATTGGTGTAAGTCATTGACTATTAAGAGAATTTCAAAACAATTTACTGCTTTATATTCCTTTATGTGTGTGCAGGGTGGTGGGTGCTTTCCTAGTCATATAATGCATTGATGTCAGGGAGTTCCATGTGTGACTGATGGCTTAACTCAGAAGGAAACTCTTACCGGATACTTAGTGTCTCACTTTGACACCCCCCCAAGAAGCAGTCCCAATATATTCGAATGTGTACTCTTTCAGACTACCAAAGGATTTTTTTCTAGAGTTATGTGAGATGAACAGTGGAAAAAAATTTTTTTTTTTTTTTTTTTTTGCGGTATGCGGGCCTCTCACTGCTGTGGCCTCTCCCGCCGCGGAGCACAGGCTCCGGACGCACAGGCTCAGTGGCCATGGCTCACGGGCCCAGCCGCTCCGCAGCATGTGGGATCCTCCCAGACCGGGGCACGAACCCGCGTCCCCTGCATCGGCTTGCGGACTCTCAACCACTGCGCCACCAGGGAAACCCGAAAAAAATATTTTTAAGTGTGGAAATGTGATAGATGAAATATGAATATACTCTAAGAAATATGCAGAGAAAGTAGAATATGGAAAGTGGTGGATAAAATCCATTAAAAGGCATATATAAAAGGAAGACAAGTGTGAGGGAAGACAGATACAAGCAGTGAAAAAATAACTATAAAAACTTTTAAGGGATTTAAGTCTGATTAGATGCTAGAAGCAAGTACATCTCATAATAAAATATAGAACAACAAACGTGTTGAATACTCTTTGTGAAATGGGTTAGAGTAGATATATAAAGACAGTAGAAGATTTGCCACTGTTCATTCAATCATCCATTCATTCATTAATCCAATAAATATTTATTGAGAATATATTATGTGCCACACACTCCTCCAGGTTCATGGGATACAGCTGTGAATGAAATCTATTAAATTCCTGACAGAGAACTTACAATCTGTTTGGAAATTGTGGAAGTAAAAAATTAAAAAGAGGGCTTCCCTGGTGGCGCAGTGGTTGAGAATCTGCCTGCTAATGCAGGGGACACGGGTTCAGGCCCTGGTCTGGGAGGATCCCACATGCTGCGGAGCAACTGGGCCCGTGAGCCACAACTACTGAGCCTGCGCATCTGGAGCCTGTGCTCCGCAACAAGCGAGGCCGCGATAGTGAGAGGCTCGCGCACCGCGATGAAGAGTGGCCCCTGCTTGCCGCAACTAGAGAAAGCCCTCGCACAGAAACGAAGACCCAATACAGCCAAAATAAAATAAAATAAATTAATTAATTAAAAAGAAATCATGGTTTTCCAGTCCGGAATGTAAGGAGCTTAGTAGCAATCACTCCATTTTAACAAGTAAAAATCTGAACAAACTAAAAAATCAACAACTCTTTTTAGGTCCATCAGAGACATAAGGTCACAAGATAAACTGCTGCTCACAGAATTGGGAAGACAGGTGAATACAGAGAATCACAACTTGCTGGAGCAGAAACCCACGAAAAGAAACCTTCATTGGAAACCAGTGTCAGGGCAAGAAAACCTACCCTGTAATTGACAAATACCTGGCGGCTCAGTGTAGACAATTCTGAGAGTTAAAAACTCTGGGAGGACTCAGTCACCTTATCAACAGAGGAGCAAAGATAAAAATTACATCCAATTTCTCCTCAGAAACCATGTAAGCAAGAAGAGGGTAGAATGAAGTATTTAAAGTACTGAGAGAAAAAAACCCACCAACCTAGAATTTTGCACCCTGTGAAATTATCATTCAAAAGTGAAAGAGAAATAAAAATTTTCTCAGATAAACAAAAATTTGAAATAATTTGTTGCTAGTGTAGACCTATCTTGCAAGAAATGTTTAAAGAAGTTCTTCAGAGAGAAGGAAAATGATATAGGTCAGAAACCCAGAAATACATAAAGGAAGAGTATCAAAGAAAGAATAAATGAAGGTGACATAAAACTTCTATTTTTCTTATTCTTAATTGATCTAACCGATAAATGTTTGTTCAAAATAATAGCACTACCTGTAAAGTGGTATGGTGTTATTTGAAAGTAGACTTGGAATAGTTGTAAATATATATTGTAAACTCTAGGGTTCTAAAAAAAGTTAAAAAGAGGTATAACTAATACACTAAGAAAAGAAAACAGAATCATATAAAATGCTCACTTAAAACCACAAAAGACAGAAGAAAAGTAGAAGACAAAAATAGGGAAAATAAAGGACAACAAATAGAAAACAGTAACAAAAGGATATTTATCCAACTATATCAATAATCACTTCAAACATTAATGGTCTTTATATACTGATTAAAAGACAGAGATTGTCAGAGTCGATCAAAAAGCAAGACACACCTGTATGTGATCTACAAGAAACCCACTTTAGATATAAAGATACACATAGGTTAAAAATAAATGGATGGAGATAGATATATCATGCTAACAATAATCAAAAGAAAACAGGAGTAACTATACTAATTTCAGACAGAGCAAAGAAAGTTATCAGGGATAAGGAGGGACATTACATAATGATAAATGGTTCAATTCTCCAAGGAGGCATAACACTTTTTATTGTGTCTGTAACTAAAAACAGAGTGTCAAAACATGTGAGGCAAAAACTGATAGAACTACAAGAAGAAACAGATGAATCCACTATTATGGTTGGAAATTTCAACACCCCTCTGTCAAAAATGGACAGAACGAGCCAACAGAAAATTAGCAAGGACATCGTTGAACTCAACAACACCATCAATAACTAGGTACAATAGACATCCATTCATACAACAACAGAATATACATTCTTGTCAAGCTCACTTGCAACATTCACCAAGATAGACCACATTCTGTGCCATAAGATACACCTTAACAAATTTAAAAGAATAGAAATCATACAATGTCTGCTCTCAGACGACAGTGGAATTAAACTAGATCAATAACAGAAAGATAGCTGGGAAATTCCCAAATATTGGAGATTAAAAATCACACTTTAAAATAACAGATCAAAGAAGAATTCTCAAGAGAAATTTTTAAATATTTTGAACTAAATGAAAATAAAATATTATTTATCAAAATTTGTGAGGGGCTTCCCTGGTGGCGCAGTGGTTGAGAGTCCGCTTGCCGATGCAGGGGACGCGGGTTCGTGCCCCGGTCCGGGAGGATCACACGTGCCGCGGAGCGGCTGGGCCCGTGAGCCATGGCTGCTGGGCCTGCGCGTCCGGAGCCTGTGCTCCACAACGGGAGAGGCCACAGCAGTGAGAGGCCCGCGTACAGCAAAAAGCAAAAAAAAAAAAAAAAAAATTTGTGAGATGCAGTGAAACACTGTATAGAGGGACACTGATGATATTAAATGTATATAATAGAATAACATGTATGCATATATTAAAAAAGAAAAAAAGGAAAGACCAGTGATTTCACCGGCAATTTTGATAAGATTATAGCCAAACTAACCAAGAAAAAAAAAGAGCAAACACAAATTACTAGTATCAGAAATGAAAGAGGGAATATCACTACAGATCTCATGGACGTTAAAAGGATAAAAAGGAATTTTGTGAACAATTCTGTGCACAGATTTTATATCCTAGGTAAAATTGGCCAATTCCTTAAAAGTCAGTCTGCCAAAACTCATGCAAGAAGAAATAGACAATCTGATAGGCCTGTATCTATTAAAGAAATTGAAATGACAGTTAATAACCTTCAAAAACCACAAAGCCCAGATTGGTTCACTGGTGAATTCTATCAACATTTAAGGAAGAAATTATACCAGTTCTCTACTATGTCTTCCAGAAGACAGAAGTAAAGGGAATACATCATAACTCATTCCATGAGGCCAACATTACCACAATATCAAAACCAGACAATGACATCACAAGAAAGGAAAATAACAGACCAATATGTTTCATGAACATAGATGCAAAAGTCCTCAATAATATATACTAGCAAGTCAAATCCAACAATGTATAAAAAAAAATTACACACTTAACAGAAGGAAGTTGAAAACTATACATTTTTGACTTACCTTTTATCTCAGAGATTTATGTGTATCAACTGGACAATCAACAGAAAATGTGCCAATAAAATTAATTGAATCTTATGTTTGTTCTTAGGTCTGTTTCAATGCCCCAAAGTCAGTGACATATTTACAATCATTAAAAAAAAAAAAAAAAGACCTGACTTTTTGTTATTTTCCAACATAAAAATCTCTAGACAGTGCATTTTTTCAGTATATTCATTCCTTATAATTACAACTTTAATATTAAAAAAAGTCCCTATACCTAGAAGTTTTAGTTATTATATTTATTGATGGAGAAAATACAAATTGACAAAAATCTTTTGTAGATCAGTAACTCTTTTAAATGAAAATTCTTAAAATTCAAAACAAATTTACATGCATCCAAAAAGTTTTTTCACCACTTTGCCTTCATCAGTTCTTTCTTAAAATCTAGTCACTATGTTAAGTGTTCACAAGTATTATCTAATTAATTTCACAACATTTCTATCAATTGGCATCTTTATTGTTATTCCAAATTTAGTAAAAGTAGAAATTGAGGCCCAGAAAGGCTAAGTAATTTGCCCAAGGTCATAATGTTTGCCTCACTATTCTAAGCCCATACACTTAATAGTGTGTTCACTGTATTTATGGATTTATGGACTTTTAAAATAACCTATGAGCCCAAACCAAATGGGGTACACAGTTTGAAAACTATTGTTTTAAGTTTGTGCTATCCAATATGGTAGCTAGTTGCCATATGTGGCTCTCTAAATTTAAATAAAATTAAATAAAATTTTAAATTTATTTCATTTGGGCTTCCCTGGTGACGCAGTGGTTGAGAGTCCGCCTGCCGATGCAGGGGACACGGGTTCGTGCCCTGGTCCGGGAAGATCCCACATTCCGCAGAGCAGCTGGGCCCGTGAGCCATCGCCACTGAGCCTGCGCGTCCGGAGCCTGTGCTCCGCAACGGGAGAGGCCACAACAGTGAGAGGCCCGCGTACCGCAAAAAAAAAAAAAAAATTTTCATTTGCATACCTCAGGTGCTCGGTAGTCCTAGGTGGCTAGTGGCTCCTGTAACGCACTGGGCAGATATGGAACATTTCCATCATTACAGAGACTCTATTGGACAGTGTGGCTCTAAATGATAGAGAACACACATGTGTCTGGGTGACATATGGTAAGTAAGATTATTTTCCTGGAATCTCTTACTAACAGAGTTTTGAAAATGATTGCTTTCCAATAGTTGATGACAGAATCAAAGGATCATTTTAGTTCATAAAGCCTAGATGATCAAGACAAGGTTTAAAGGATAGTAATTGACTATGTTTCATAAGATTTATTCACATTTGGAGACATTTAAGTTTTGGAAGATGTGGAAAGTACTCATAGAATTTTCCCTTTGCTTCAAAGTTTGGAGTCACTACCAACCACTGATCCAATAGGAGCCAGGAAAGATCTAATAAAACTATTTCATTTCAACAAAAGGAAACTAGACCAAAATGATGACATTTTTTACCTGTTTCTGTTTCTTTTTCCTGGTATAGTTTCAAGCTTCAAGAACAATCGTTCATTTTTATATATGTCCTAAGTCACTGACTATAAAGGCAGGTCAAGGAGTAGATACAGGCTCCTGTGATTTTTTTTTTTTTAAGTCTATTTTGGCTAAGGGCAATAAGAAGTAGATTGGGTTGGGTGATGACATTTGAAAACCATTGAATAACATACAAAATGAGCAATATTAACATGGAAGTTTTTCTTAATCCAGGAATATGTTTAGAAATAGAAAATAGTTTCCCTTAAAACCTCCTTTATCTGATGAACTTGGAAAGTTTCACATGTGGAACGGGCCACATATGGAGGAAATGCAGGCAGCCTCTAGGAGCTGAGAGTGAACCCCAGATAGGTGACAGTCAGCAAGAAAACAGGACCTGAGCTCTGTTGAATTTTGCCGTCAGTCATGTGAGCTTGGAAGAAGACCCCAAGCTCCAGACAGGACAAAGTCCAGGACGTCTTGATTGCCCAGGACTTAGTTAAGCTGTGCCCATACTCCTGACTCATGGGGACAATGAGATAATACATGTATGTTAAGCTTCTAAGAAAAAGGAAAGTAGTATCTGCTCATCAAAACAAAAGTGAAAATAGTACAGAAAAAGAAAGGTGCAAAATCCCTCACCCCTAATCTCATTCTTCTACGTGGCCACTCCTAAGGTTGTGTGTGTGTGTTTGTGTATGTGTCTTAGATAAAGGTGCATGCATTCTTCTTTATTAAGGTGTGCGGTCCATGGGACAGGAATGAGGACAAAGTTGGGAAAGAGGGATTTCTCACAGGAGGGCATTATCTCCTTGGGGGCAGCTAAGTGTTGCTGATTGCTAATCTCTCAGGATCATCCTCTAAAAAGCCTTATAAACTGCATCTCAGGACATCCATCCAGCAGAACCTAGAACAAGAGATGAGTGAGGCTGAGAGGACCTGAATTCTTACATGAGACATGTCTGATGAGGAATCCTTCTATACACTATTTATAGATATTCAAACATGTATTTGTTTTTATTGAAAAGCTGAATTGACACTATGTATACTGTCTGGCTTACTTTTTTCATTTATTAATTATTTATATGAATATTTTTCTGCATACAGATCTATTTCATTCTTCTACAGGTTACAGAGAAAAGAGAGAAATTTTAGATTAGAGGATAAATTTTAGAGGTTATTTTGTATTTTTCTTTTCTTTTTTTCTTAGTTTTTTTGACAAGTAACAACACATTTTATTATATCCCCTAGGATATCATTTCACTTAAGCCTAGGGAAACTGGCGTCATGTC